CTATGCTCCTCAGCGCCATCTAGTGGCCATATTGTGGTATTTCTTGATAATACTTTTGACCAGGAAAGAAAACAGACTGTTCGTTTTTGCCTCCATTCGCACTGATCGGATGTTCATGGAGTTTCGTAGGACAAATGGCTCTGCAAATTGTTTATAAACAAACCCCATAAACTCTTAACGTACCACCATAAAAAGCCAATGTTGTATTAACTGCCATGTTACACAGAGACTGCTTAGTGAATTTTGCAGTCTGAAGAGACAATGCAACTCAATGTTCCTTGTATCTCTTTACCACCAAATGCTCACAGTGTGACACTGAAAGAAAAATTCCTAACTAAAAGGTAATGGTAAACTCCAAGCATATATAAATAACAACATGTACAGTAGCTTTGTATGCCGGTAAAACATATTCACATGTATTGCTTACATATGACCGCTTGAAATGACCTGCACAGCAGCACTCATACTGGAAGATGGAGAGGCAGCACAAGGGGCCATTCAGGCTATCATGCACATGTGCTGATATGAGTCGAGAACAGAGTGAGCAGAACTGATGACTTAATGCGTTGCTGCTCTTTCGTCGTCCAATCAGAGTCTTGGGGCGAGGGGGTGACACCAATGTATTTTCTACTCTTACAGATAAAGTGGTGTCACCCTCCTAGCTGTGCTGTCTGGCAGAGGTGCATGAGTCACAACACCGGCAGGGCAGAATTACAAATCCTTTTTCTGATAAGCCAAACGCCATTAGAACTTCGAATGATCATTCATCAGAGCATTGGCTCTTGCCATCATTGAGTCAACTCCAGACCTGCTATTTGAAAGGAACTCTACCGGTGTACGAGCCAGTTTTAGTTTTCAGCCGAGTGCTCCAGTTTTCTTGAATCATCTGATAAGGTTGATTGGCCCCTGACCAAATGGGTCATTGAGAGTTTGTGATTGTATGGAGAGGGCACAACAAGGCTGTACGCTTCTTTAGGGGTAGCATTGATGTGAATGGTCTGTGTGCAGCGCAACACTATTTATAAACTTTTTCACCCAAGATTCACACATTTTCCCAATTGGTACTGAAGAATGTGTGACTCTTGGGTGAAAGTTGTGTAAATCTTGTGGGAAAAGCTAAAATAATGAATGGACACCTTATTATCCGTGCTATAAAAATGAATAAAATAAATGGCCTTCTTTCTAGTACAGGGAAGTATAACATGGTTGCGAGGTTCAAGAAGAATATTATTAGTGCTGGTTGCAAACATCTCTCGCGTGCTGGAAAATGCCCGAGCTTAAAGTATATCTAAAGCCAGAACTTTATTTTGTTCATTTGGGATAGCATAGGGGAAGGTTTAAAGTTCTGTCAGGTTTTTGTTGCCATCTGTGTCTGATTGGGGTTATATACCTTCACTTCCTGTCCTGTAGACCCAATGGGAAGTGAGAGGATATCTTTCCAGTGTGGTGGAAATCCCATCTTAAGATGGCCAAATTTCAGCAGATTCAGCAGGAATTTTAGCCATGGGGGGGCCCCGTTGGCACCACCTAAGGAGCCGCATGGAAAATGGTTGGTCAAACAGTGATTGCATCCAACCAAATGCAGCCGCTGTTCGTGTATTTAGCAGCCGTGGGTCCTCCAAGCTGCTGAATACAGTAGCCGGCATGGGAGATTCCTTGCTGTTTAACATGGATGGTGGAATCAGGTTGATTACTCTCGTTCATCTCGCAGGGCTAAATGAGAGAAATCTCAAAGCGTATGGCTGGTTTTAGACAGTTGTCACGGAAACAAGTGTCCCCATTGGGAGATGTCCACTCTTTTTCTGTTCTGGGGTCAACTCAAAATGTTGGATTTACCTTGACTTGCATTCCTGGTTAATGATCAGGACACTTATAGGGGGTGATTCTCCCTAACGTGGACACCGAGAGCGATAAAAACCTGACAGAGGTTGTAATGCTTCTCCACTCTATCCAAAACATTGCTTTTAGTTACTCCCTAAAGTAAATCTATTTAGAAAAAAACCTTTAGAAAGAAAGTTGTTACAGCTGCAGGTAGGGTTTGGAAGCCTATTCAACCGCGGCTTGGTTAGGCCGGGCAAGTAATATGTAGTCGCAACACTTTCAAACATTGCATAGAACAGGAAACATGTCTGACACCCAAGCGTATGATCCGTTTATACGTGACTAGACTTAAAGGTCAACTCCATCCAAATCCAATATGTCAGTATGCCAACCCGCTACCTTCTTGTATCTTGTAAAGAGGTAAGATTGCTCCACAGTAGTTTGTTTGACCTTCCTACAAAGCCATAACAAAGGTATTCCCTAAGAGTTTCCTACATTAAGCAGAAAAACACTTCTCCAACATGGGGAAACTAGGAATCCAGCGATCATATCCGACCACTACATTCAGCATGGCGTGAATCAACTTGACAATAACCTCAAAAAAAAGCAAGATATCGGTTCTATTGAAGGACAGGTAGATATTGGGGATCCCTGTCCACCTGTGGTGAGCTTTTTGAACAAAACAAACAAACAAAAGAAAACCGTGGAGAATACTTTAGGGTTAGAAGATCCATTGACAGTTACGCAAGTTACACTATAAACTCAGTGGACACCTGATCATCACATCTGTATGAGCTTGTTGGACATCCCATTCCATGGCCATTAATATGGAGTTTGACCCATATTTCTAGCTATATCAGCCTCCACTCTTTTGGGAAGGCTTTTCACAAGATTTTGGATTGTGTCTGTGGAAAGTTGTGGCCATTCAGCTGGAAGAATATTTGTGAGGTCAGGTGCTGATGTTGGATGAAAAGACCTGGCTGTCAATCGCATTCCAATTCATCCGAAATGTGTTCAATAGGGTTGAGGTCAGGGCTCTGCAGATCATTCACGTTCCTTCACACCAAACTCATCATACCATGTCTTTATGGAGCTTGGTTTGTGCACAGGGGCACAGTCATGCTGGAACAGGAAATGTCCTTCACCAAACTGTTCCTACACGGTTGGTCGGTTGTGTTTAAACAACACAAGTGTTTAAAATATCCGTGCATGGTGTAGCATTAACATGACCATTCACCAGAAACACCTGAACTCAATCATTTGGAGCCCACATACTTTCGGTCATATTGTGTAGGTGTGACGGTCAAGTGTTGACAAACATTTGGCCATATATTATATATCAAATACTCCAGATACATATATAGAAAATGTAACATTTTATTCAGCTATACACTCATTAAAAAAATATGTAACTATGTATTTCGATAAAGCTTGTACAGGTACCTGAATTCTACCTTTATATTGGATTGCCGTAACCCTCTACATAGAAGGTATCTGACTGGCTTTGTGCACATGAACTTAATCATTTTGAGGGATATTCTCATACTTTTGGCCATACAGTGCATCACTTACTCTTCCTGTACTAAGGCAACTCACAGGGTACAAGATGCTGATTTCAGGAGTCATCAAACTCTTCTCCTTCACCTCTAATTTGGAAGGAGGTCCTCATACTTTTGGCCATACAGCGCATCACTTTCTCCACCTGAACTACGGCAACTCACAGGGTACAAGATGCTGATTTCAAGAGTCATCAAGCTCTTATCCTTCACCTCTAATTTGGAAGGAGGTCCTCATACTTTTGGCCATAGAGTGCATCCCTTACTCCACCTGAACTACGGCAACTCACAGGGTACAAAATGCTGATTTCAAGAGTCATCAAGCTCTTCTCCTTCACCTCTAATTTGGAGGGATGTCCTCATACGTTTGGCCGTAGAGTGTATCACTCACTCCACCTGAACTACGGCAACTCACAGGGGACAAGATGCTGCTTTCAGGAGTCATCAAGCTCTTCTCCTTCACCTCTAATTTGGAGGGATGTCCTTATACTTTTGGCCATAGAGTGTATCACTCACTCCACCTGAACTAAGTCAACTCACCGGGGACAAGATGCTGAGTTCAGGAGTCACCAAACCTTTATCCTTCACCTTTAATTTGGAGGGATGTCCTGATACTTTTGACCATACTGTGCATCTCTTACGCCACCTGAACTAAGCAAATCCCGGGGGGGCAAGATGCTAATATCACAAGTCACCAAACCCTTATCCTTCACGTCTACTTATAACAGGTGTCTCATACGAAGCCCGGGCATTTATGCAAGGTCTACCAATGCCGCATGAGCAATAATTGTGGTCAATTTGGAATCAATGCAAAACAAAGCTGAACACAAAACCCAATCTAGCCACTGAATGCAAAAACAAAATTTCTCATAGCACGTTGCCTAGCAAAAAAGAAAAAAAAAATCCCCCATGAGAGTTTCCTGGTTGAGTCCTTAGAGAATTCAGCAGCCACTGGGTTAAATGAAGTCCTAATGTTTCCTTGTCTTTCTCTTAGACGTTGATAATGAGTCCCTGCGGATATGCGCGCTGCAAAGGTGTCCTTGCTAAACACATCCAGATAGATGAACAGCCATGCAATCTGTGCCTAAGTCTACAACAACTCCAGCTCTTTTTTTTTAAGCCCAGGTGGCACACGGCCTCTCGGATAACACAAAAACAACAACAACGACGCCACAGCCGTAGCGTAACAGGGTTATTAATATCTTAAGACAGCAATCAACAGGCACGGTAATATTTGCCTATCTAGATCAGCGCCGGGAGAGTTAACCAGGAACAGGAGAGATCAAGGGAATGTACAAGCGTATCATTCAAACCCGGTCCAAAATGGGTCTTTCACTGGCTGCAGGAACGACAACAACCTTTAGTAACCCCCCCCCCCCTCCGTTTGGGGCACCCTATTTGGGGGAAGAAAAAAAAGCAAAAACAAATGCAATTCGCTTGTACAGTTTAGAAACCCAAATTTTGTAAAAAAAAAATTTTTGCAGCACCGAAGCAGCATTTTTGTTTCCCCGATATCAGCAGATTTTGGTTAACATCCTTTTTTTAAAAAAAAGCCAATTTCTCCAGAGCTTTAATTAAGGGGGAAGGAGGGGGGTATATATATATAAAAAAAAAGGCACTTACCAGGACATGCGCAGCCCACTGACATCTTCACATGCCTGGTCTGAAACCAAGAAGGTACTGGGTGCCCGCGGCTAAGGCTCCTGGCATAAAATGCCCTTGTGGAATCTCGGAGAACAAAAAAACGAGCCCCCCTAAAAGCCAGAAATTGGGCCTCAGAGGAAGCAGGCAGAAGGAATTTTATTCTGTCTCTGTATGTGTGTGCGTGTGTGTATGTGTGTCTCTCTCTCTCTCTCTCGCTCTATCTCGCTCTCTCTCTCTCTCTCCACTGGCAGTACTGTGGTTTATTAATATGCTAATTGCAATGCTAGTGGGAGGAGAGTGAGCTTGTCAAAGTGACCTGAGTAAAAGAGAGAGGAGAGAGAAGGGAGAGAGAGAGCGAGGGAGAGCGAGAGAGAGAGGAAAATTAAATCGTTTCAGAGATCAGAAAAAAATAAAATAATAAAAAAAAAGAAATCCTGGCTTTTGTCACAAACAAAGCCGTACTTGAGAAACAGACATTCAGTTTATAAGGAGGCAGCAAATTAATGGAGGTTTGGGCGCCATCCAAGCGTTTTATTATTTTTTATTTAAACGCCTGCCCTGATGGCATCTCCTCGACTAAGTGGAAGGTAGCGATGGCTCGCGGCGCCGTGCACTTAGAGGGATGCTAAGCAGGTCTTTGGCCAAGGTGCGCCATGCCAAAACATTTTTTAAAAAGAGCCCCTCGTACAAAAGGGGCATGGGGGGGTTACACGCGTCAACTTCGGCCTCATCTTCTGATCGAAGGCGGGTTCATTTTGTCAGCTGTGAGATGGCTAAAGAGATTTCTGAGCCGGAGAAAGGTCGTCACATGCGCGGAAGCCAAGTGAATTTGGGGAGCAGGAGGTAGTCATTCTCACCCTACGATATGATGATAGGTGAAGGGAATTCGTAGTCTATAAAAGGTGGATGTACTGTATGTAATTATATCATCATGTATTCATGTTTTCTAAATCTTGTTTTTTATGTAAGTTTGTATTTATATCTGTATGTCGCCCTCCCCTCTTTACACCTCGAGGTGGTTGGGGACCCCCACATGGCATGCTGGGGCAGACATCTCAAACCTCAATGCGGAATCCTTGACTCTTTGCGGGGTGGAAGTCATTGGTCGTCAGCCACTTTAGAATAGGGGTAGGCGAACTCCAGCCCTCCAGCTACAAATCCCATTAGGCATTGCACGACTCTGACAGCCACGCGTATGACTCCCAGAGGGGGATGCATGATGGGATCTGCAGTTTCACCACAGCTGGAGTGCCGAGGTTGCCTACCATTGCTTTAAGTGGTGCCGCAGGTGAACTGAGCTTAGTGAAAGGTTTGGATGTGTGACTAGCAATAAATTAAACCTACGATATTAACCCCTTCATGACTGAGGCCCTTTTTTCAATTTTTGCACCCATGTTATATTCCACATTTTAGGCCTGAAAATTACGTAAAACCCCCCAACATTATATATTTTCTGAATGCCAAGACTAAGTCGCCAGGATCGCTTCTGTTGTAAAGCCGACAGTCGGCTCTACAAGTTTAAACAGAGTCCCGGCGGCAAAAGTCGCCGGGAGTCTGTTTAAACAGCCCCGATGCTGGCGACGTACACTGTACGTCGTCAGTCACGAAGGGGTTAATAGTGTTGGAAATGACCCCCAGAGGCGGATGCATGATGGGTGTTGAAGTTTCACCACGGATGGAGGGCCAGAGTGTGCCCACCACTGCTACAGTAATTTATTAGGCACAATAAACTCAGGGATAGAGGGGTTAGGTGCACAGGATACCCAAAAAGACCAAAAGGCCAACTCCCTATCTCTACTTACAGTCAATACATATAAAAGGACCTTTAAAGGGTATCTATAGTCAAAATCTAAAGATAAATCTGTATTTCTATATTGGATTTCCATAAGTTCAATCCCTCTCCTAATAGCCAGATCCATCTGGAAGTTTTTAAACTTATTGAAGATGCCCATAGGATGGATTTCCCCAATGCACTGACACCATTTCACTCAGCCCTGTGAATATGCTCTTGCTTGTGTCACGGCTCTCACAGAGCCTTCTGTCTTGACCCCCAGAGCTCCAATCCAGGAAAACTCCTTCCTGCCCTGCTTCTATTTCCAAGGCTGCATACATAAATCTGTGATATGTCACAATGTGCAGCAGCAGTATACTTTTCCAAAAATGCTGTACCTTTTATCCTTTAGCTCCACTCCAGTGGCTTTGTCTTGGCTGAGATGGCGTCAATAGCCTGCTGCAGGCAGGAGGAAGCATTTTACCAGTCTTCTTTCCTCCAGTGATCAGACTGCAACATTTCTGTAGACTTGGATTGAAATGCAACCCCTTCCCCCAAATTGAACACAAACCCTTCGACATAGGGTTTTAAAATTAGCATTTTCATCAACAAAGGCAATAAAAACATTGTCAGAAGTTCTATGATTCCTTTTGCTACTAAAAATGTTATTTTGCCTATTCTGTTTCTGTTCATAGAGATTTTCCATAGACCTCTATCTGTGTCCTAGCAACCAATGATGTTGTGCGGTCCTACCGCGCCATGGGTTGCTATGGTGTGCTGCCCTGCATCCAAGCAACCAATGATGCCGTACAGCCCCACAGCACCATGGGTTGTTATGGTGTGCCGGCCTGCGTCCAAGCAACCAATGATGGTGTAAGGCCCCACAGCACCATGGGTTGTTATGGTGGGCTGGCCTGCATCCAAGCAACCAATAATGCTGTACAGCCCCACAGCACCATGTGTTGTTATGGTGGGCCAGCCTGCGTCCTAGCAACCAATGATGCTGTTCAGCCCCATAGCACCATGGGTTGTTATTGGTGGGCCTGCCTGCATCCTAGCAACAAATGCTGCTGTGCAGCCCAGCCGCTACTGTCCTACCAATCGATGATGCCATGCAAGCTGCACAGTGTGACTGGTCTTCTCTTCGACCCTTCCTGTAAAAAATCTTTTTTCTGTCTGTGTCTCATTTAGGAGATCTCCCATCACTTCCTGTTCTAGAGACACTGCGGAAATTAGGAGCGGATCTCTACAAATTGAGGAGACATCCCCTCTTAGGCCACTGTCACTAGAAGAGGTGTTCCCATTAGAAGATTTCCCTTCACTTCCTGTTTCTGAGACAACTCAAACATTTTGGATTTTTAATCACTTCCTGCACCAGAGACAATGATCACCAGGACAAATGGCGAGGGTAAATCTCTCTATTTGTTTTGGTGACTGTTATCACTGAAAGTGAAAGCAAATCCCACATTTTAGGTTGTTATCAGAACAGGGATAGAGGAGAAATCTTCCAATGGGGACACAAGTTCTGGTGACCTTTCTGACCACCAGGAATTTCCCTCTTATCGGAGTGATTTCCTCTAACTTCCTGTTGTGGCTATTGGACAGGAAGTGAAGGGAAATGCCCCCAATAGAGAAATGACAGCGGTTATAACCCTCCCTTACTCTATCCAAAACTAAAAAAAAAGTTTTAGGCTTCAGTTCTACTTTGAGGAAGATATTGTTAAATATATCTCATAATATTTAGAGATATAGGACAGCATAATAACTCAGTGGTTAGCATCCTTGCCTTTCAGTGCTGGGTTTGATCCCTAGGATGAACACAATCTGGACATGGGTTTCCACAAAAAAAAAAATATACTTGAGACTAAATGTTCCACTTTTTGGACAGAGGAAGGATTAGAACCTCTATCAGAATCTTATTGCGGCCTGTGTTTTTTAGGATATAGGGACCCGGCCTTAAGCTGGAGTACCTATTTGAAATTCAGTGGGCGGTTAGGCTGTAATCTGCCTGAGCTCTAATTGGTATTGTCTTCCTGTTCGTTGGGTCTCCCCTAAGTTTAGGATATTTTGTTGCTTCTGCCTGTTGCGGGGAATTGTCTCTAGCAGACAGAGAAACAATATTGTTGAGTTATGAACCTTTATTTCTCTCTGGTCACTCACAAGGAGGATTACTGCAAGTGGTGCATGCTGCGGAAGGATATAAATATTTGGGGTGACCTTGTAGAAGGGTCTTTGTCTCTTAGGCACCTACCAGGAGAACCGTTCTTTGTTCTTCAAAGCTTTGCCTGGGGAGGAAGTTGTGCAGGAGGTCTGTGCCTGCCAGGCCTGCTACCTGGGGAGGGTGCTGATGAGGAAGGGGCTAAATCTGAGCCTAGGGAAATTATGATGCCTTGCTGGAGGGTATATCCAGAGGGAGTGGATCAAGAAGATGTCTGCCCGTATGAAGCATTGTGGGAAAGGGCTTCACTGTTGAAAAGCGTCCTGAAGGAGCAGGGCATGAGCTGCTGTCAGTGAACATAGTTTAAGGTCCATAGCCTCTGTTGACTATTGCTAGTAGTGTCTGTTGCTGTTAAGTCTGGAGCCATCCTTGCCTATTTTTGGGTTTCCTGTGTCCTAACCCTCCCTTGAGTTTACTGAGCCGCATAAACTCACTGAAACATACTAAAGTCATTGATGCCCAATTCCTCCAACCCCACAAAGAGTCAAGGATTCAGGTCTGAGGTTGAAAATGCTGCTTGGTGTTCCTCCTCATCTGCCCAGGACTAAGGGTGTGCTTCAAATTGGCGCCCAGTGTGGGTCCTCACAAGAATTGCGCTGCAGTTCCTAGTAGAGAAGTCTGGAGCCATTTTGACTGTTTTTTTGGGTATCCTGTGCCTTTTACAAAAAATGTTCCTGACGGAAGACCGAGCTGAGCAGAGGGAGGATACATTTGCAGACCTTGTCCGATTCCCCTGGGAGTGAGGATGTAGGACGGCACAAGTGCCCTGAACGCAGTTCATTGAAGTCCATGCAGATACTCAGGTGTGAAGAACAGGTAGGGCAACCACAGGATCAAGATGGTGCGCTGAACGTAGCATGGTACTGGAACAGGAGACAGATGCAAAGTCGGGAACACAGGCCTGAGCTGATATCTTCCAGACAAAGCAGTACCAAATCGTTAGTCAGATCAGGGTCTAAGTTTCAAGCCAAGGTCACACACAGAAAATCAGAAGTGAGGCACCAAATCAGCACACAGAAGCAGGGTCGGGTCACAAGCTGGGGTGGTCGTCTTTGGGAATCAAGTCGCAGGTCCGGTCGCAGAGAAACAGGAACAAGCTGAAGACCAGTCAGCAATTATTCCCGACTCCTTTCTGGTTTAAATAGGCCAACTGATGCCAATGAGCATGCAAGTGCGTGTGCACGGCAGTACGTGCGCACAACTTCACACGCGTGCGTGAGCACCAGTGCTAACTTTAATGTGCATTGGTACTGATGCGCATTTTTCTGCACGAACCAAAGCACGTTTGCCCATAATCCTGAGCGCGGG